GTCATTTTCAACAGCTAAACAGAGCACCCAGCTGTTTTTTTTTTTCACAAAACTTTTAAAATTTGAAATTAAGGCGTAAACTTATGGAAAAAGTACAAGATCTTACGGATGTAAATGAAGCAGCCAATGCGAAGATTATGTCTTTAGAAAAGACTCGGCACAAGCTGATGGGCGATTTAGATGATGCTCAGGTAATTTTTGCGCTCATTTGGTAGATTCCTCATACTATAACCTCTGCAAAAGTTACTGATAATTATGAGACATATAGAAATTGTGTTAACACATTGTTAAAATATTTGTGTCTTTAAAAGTTGAAGCACAAAAAAGTTTTTTAAATAAAAAACACAAAATTTAGAAATTATTTCCTTGAAATAATACAAAATTCAGGTTGATGTTGAGCGGGCAGCAGCCTATGTAGGAGCCTTAGAAAAAAAACAAAGAGCATTCGATCGTATAGTCGAAGAATGGAAAAAAAAATGTGATGATTTGGCAGCTGAGCTTGAAGGAGCGCAACGGGACAACCGTAATCTCTCTACCGAGTTATTCAGAGCCAAGAGTACCCAGGATGAATTGCTTGAAGTAAATATTCTTATTTTCTAGCATAAAAAATATTAAATACAAAAAAGTTTTGAAATGAATAATGTGTGTAAAAAAATGTACATTACATTCCAACACAAATATACTTAGAGAAAGTACATTACACTCCAACACAAACATACTTAGAGAAAGAAAATGAATTAATTATATGAATTAAAAAAGGTTCAAATTATTACAGCAAATAGAAAGTTTACGTCGAGAAAACAAATCGTTGTCATTAGAAATCAAGGATTTAACTGATCAACTTACCGAAGGTGGACGATCGGTACATGAACTGCAGAAAATGGTGCGTCGTCTCGAAGTCGAAAAGGAAGAACTGCAGAAAGCTCTGGATGATGCCGAATCTGCTCTGGAAGCTGAAGAAGCTAAAGTTTTGCGGGCACAGGTAACTTTTTTACCTCAAAAGAAAATATAGTAATCAAAGTGTGATAATCAGTTTCGAATTCTGAAAACTTTAGGATGTTGTTTTTGGACGAGGAAAGCTGATTACTTGATGTTTTTTCATAATTTGTTTATAGGTGGAGGTATCGCAAGTACGTGCTGAAATCGAAAAGAGAATTCAAGAGAAGGAAGAAGAATTCGAGAACACTCGTAAGAATCATCAGCGAGCTCTTGAAAGCATGCAAGCAACTCTTGAAGCGGAAATGAAAGCTAAACAAGAGGCATTGCGCATCAAGAAGAAACTTGAGCAAGATATCAATGTCAGTAACTTATATCCTTTGCATGACCGAATTCACTATGATTACTAGCCTTAACGGCAGTATAATAGGCTTCAAGTCGATTTCAAATAGATTTCACCCTAAAATTTTTTTTTTTCAGGAACTTGAAGTAGCTCTTGACCATGCCAACAAGGCGAATGCAGATGCGCAAAAGACAATAAAGCGATATCAGGAGCAGATCCGAGAATTGCAGATGCAGATTGAAGATGAACAAAGACAAAAAGACGATCTTGCGTAAATTTACCCTTTATTTTGCCCTTAATTTTATAACTGATTACACTTAAGTTCAGAATTAAAATAGTAAGTTAAAAAGAAATAGGAAATAGTCAATTTTTCTATTATAATTTTATTTTCAGGGAACAGTTATCTAACATACAAAAGAGAGCAGCTATTCTGCAAGCCGAAAAAGATGAGCTTGCTAATCAAGCTGAAATGGTAGGTTGTGTCATTTATAAGTTTAAGATCATCAAGTTCAAGAAAGGAGGAGGCATAACTCTGATATGATTACAGGCTGAACGTGCTCGTCGCGCAGCTGAACAGGATGCTATTGAATTACGTGAAACAGTGAACGATTTGACAAACCAAGTTAATGCAATTAACAACACGAGGAGAAAGTTGGAGTCTGAGTTACAGACTGTTCACGTATGTTTACATCTCTTGCCACCTTTTATAAATATATTTAAAAAATGAAATACCTGTTTAAACATGATCTAAACGAATAAGATTTTAATCTTTTTTGAGAAAACTGCATAAAATAAAAAGTTGGTTACTTTTTTCGGAATTCTAGTCTTCTTGGAGAATTGAGAATTTCAGGTGGAATTAGACGACGTGACGTCACAGCTTAAGAATACCGACGAAATGCTAAAGCAAGCTTCCGCAGATGCAGCACGACTTGCGGAAGAGCTACGCCAAGAACAGGAGCATTCGGTGCACGTAGAAAGAATGCGTCGCGCACTCGAAGTACAAATCAAAGAGATGCAGGTTACATTTTGGTACAAAATGGAAAATTTATAGTGACAATGTAAAGCTTATAAGTTTGGAATTTGGTGAAATAAAATTATTTTTTTTACAAAGTGTCGCTTATTTTTCTTGAAATGATTATTTTTTCAATTTTCAGGTACGTTTGGATGAAGCGGAGCAGGCCGCACTGCGTAGTGGACAAAAAATCATCGCTAAATTGGAGATGCGCATTCGGGAATTGGAGCAGGAGTTAGATGGTGAGCAGAGACGAAGCTCAGACTATGAAAAGGAATTGAAAAAAGGAGATAGGCGTATCAAAGAATTGCAATTCCAGGTAACTGTAAATTGAAATGTTGAGTTTTTTATATTAGACTGAGCAAAATTTTTTTTTTTTTGCGAATTTTTATTTGTACGTTGTAGTGTGAAGAAGATAGAAAGAACAATGATCGATTAACGGAACTAGTCGATAAATTGCAAATCAAAATAAAGATCTACAAACGGCAGGTTGAAGAAGCGGTAGGTTAAATCCTTCTCTTTTTAGAATATGTAAGCTACAAAAAGTTTAAAAAGGTTTTTTTTTTCACATAACTTAAAAAACAAACGAAAATTAGAAAAAAAAATTAGATTAGGCTATCAGTCATCAATAATCAGAAAAGAAACTTTTGATATCAAAAATTTAATGTAATCTTATAGATCGCAAATCTGGGGTCGTCCATTAATTTGTTCAGTATTCGTAATTTTTGAATCCATAATTCATTCCAGGAAGAAGTAGCTGCAATTAATCTAGGCAAATACCGACAATTGCAAACACAACTTGATGATGCTAACGAACGGGCAGATATCGCGGAAAACTCATTGGCAAAGCTTCGTTCAAGGAATCGAGCTTCAACGATTGCTCCACTTGCTCTAAGTGCTAGTGCAAGCTTTATCCGGGTACCATCTCAATCAGATCTGGCACAATGAGATGAAGAATAGTTATATACTTTGAAGCTCTAAAACTACAAATTTGCTCATGTCCTTGGTTCCATTTATTTATGCCTTTTTTCAATTGTGCATAAATTATCCGTTTGCTGGCGATTATCATTTGCTTAGGTTATTAATGGGCATAATAATATTGATTGATCCAAATTTTGTTTTTACTTCTTTTTTTCACCGTTTTTTTTTTTTTTTTATACATTGATTATTTTATGAATTTTAATTGTTATATAACTTATAGCTTTCTGCAGATCTAAAGTAATTCTTATATAGCATCACGTTTAATTGCATTGCATTCATGGCGACATAAACATTGATCTGGATTATGTTCGGATGGCTCAGGTGTAGATCCGTCTTCTGCTTCGGTGAAATGCTATTTTATACAAAGCATTTCAGTTGATCTTTTTCAGAACCATATATGAATAAAGGATTCCAGAATCATTTATTCATATATTGCTATCACCTCTCTTCCACAAATCTTTTAGATTTCAAAGATAATTGAGAATTATTTTCTTTTTGAAAAGTGCCTTTGTATCTTTTCTTCTTTTGTCACTAAATTTAACAAAAGCATTTCCATGAAACATTTTGGGTCTAGCTTCTGAATTATCACAACCCGAACTTTAGCATGCAATCGGACTTGAAGGTTATCCCTCATCTTAGAATGTGTAAACTTTCACAAATGTCCTCAATGTCCTCATCTTTTCTTTCGCTTACGAACGGTATGCATTATGATCTTTTACCAGCATAACATCTTTATGGCAAAATGTATATTTTTTTGTAATAAAAGTGAAACGAGACGACAGTGTCATTGTTTTCTTCTAAATATGTGATTTTTATTTCACTCTATCCTTTGCATTCGATCATTCGACTTCTTCCAATTTTATATAATTTGTTTCAGTCTTTTTTTGGGAAAGTTATATACATGCTATCAATAAATAAAAATATGAAAGGAAAATATTTATTCTTTTCTTGTAGAATAAAATTAATGTAGAAATCTCTACACGTTTAATGCACAACCTTGCAAGAAACAATCTTATAACCTATGCATACTGATATTGTGCTGTTTTACATATTTTCATAAAAATTAATAGTAGAATGTATTGAAGAGAATAGAAACTGATTGTTGGCATTCATAGCAAAAAGCAAGAAATTATACGAGATGTGTCCTGAAAGGAAATGATTTACCTGCTTAAAGTGATAAGGTGAAGATTGACAGTCTAGAAAAGATGGAAGAATACTTTTTGCACAGAGACTCAAGGAAATTTCTCCCAAGGTTCGTATTACAAATGCTCGTCTCTTAAATATCTAAATTACTAAATTATTGTCGTTTTGCACTTTCTTGCCTACATTCATACCGTTTTATGGCTTATTTGCTTGAAGTTTTTTCTGCTATTAACTTCATTTTACAAAATGCTTGTCTCTTAAATTTACTCTTTATGATTTACTATTATTTTGGTTTGGTAAGTTTACTCTTCCAAACTCCTAGCAACTTAGTGTAGTATTTTATTTCAGCACAAAGTTTAAAGTTGGACTTACTCTGCACAAGCTCCTTGCAATTTAGCTTAGTATTTTTTCTCAAATCCAATCGTTTACATATTTGCTAAGATTTGTGACTTTGGAAGCAATAGTGATAGCCATTTATGTAAATAATTAATGAAACGATATTGCAATGTTTGCATAACCAATAAATTATAAGTGCAAGGCCATATACGCTATGACCAAAACCTTTTAATAACTTTTTTAACTGTAATGGACGGTTGTGTTGCGGGCGCTTTTGATATATCACTCGTCGTAGATGCGTTATGTTCACATTCTCGTGGTATTAACAGACGTGCACTAACACTCTCCCTAATGGTTCTTTCATGCGCCACCCTTATTTTAAGTTCTTCAGATGGTAATATCTTTATTTAGGTTCAAATTTGAATTTTTCAACGAAAACTCAATCTTTTAAAGTTTTACAAGTAGATATTTAGAAAAAAGACAGTGTTCATTTAACTTGTGATGAAATTATCAACTAACTAATGAATTTATCAAAGCTATAACTTATCGAACACGGGTTCAGTCTCTACCTACCTGAAGTTTAGACATCTGCTTTTTCCAAGTTTCACAGAAGTATGAAATTTGTCAAAAGATCTTTTTTCTTACTATCTTCGGAACTCCTGTTGATTGCAATTACTCAAATACTCTGTAATGAACATGTCAGTTTCTAACGTTTGAATTGATCACTCTATAAAAACAGGTGACAGATTCTCCATTTCAGAAGCAAATTCCTTATTTATTAGAATAAATACCACTTCCATGGAAACAACTACTTTTACGGAATATGCTCCTCATTTATATTACGGTAATACTTCACTGAATTCTAATACTACTAAATATGATTCAATAATTTGATATAATAATTAACCAAATTGTGTGTGGAACAAAAATGAAAGTGTCTATTTTATTACAGCCACAACTACCATCGAACCAGAAACTACTATAGTTACAGGTACGGCTTTTCAGTTTAAATAATGATTCAACAGAAGTCACAAAATCAGGAAATATCAAAATACTGAATATAATTGCCGAAAATTTCAAACGGAAGAAATCAGTCTTAACTTAAACTGACCCATACTTGAATGATCTAAAGTAACTTATCATCCGATTGATCAAATGACAAATGATTTTGTAATTCTTTCTTCACTTTCATTTACGTTGTTTCCACTTATCTTATTTTTAATTCAGAATTTCAGAAAAAAAGAGTAAATAATGAAATAATGAAAAGAATTGAATTCAGAATTTTCAGAAAATTCAGAAAGTGAATCTCATCAAAAGTTTATTATATCTGAATCAACTCAAACATTATTAGCATCAACCATTGGTACTTTCTTTTTGTCTGATTCTTTTTAAAAGATTTAATTCCAATTCACTACTATTTTTTGCATGAATACAAATCATAAAGTCGATTTCATGGTTAATTCATGAAAGTGTTTATTGGTAATTGGTCACAGTATCTTATACAGAAGTATGCACTTATTATTTAATAGTTCCGATTGTCGATATTCCCATAAGATGTTCAACACAAAAATCGTTTAGGGAGGAAGCATATATCTGGTTATATCAAGAATTCTTCATTTTCAAATACTCAAATGATGAAAATAGCTAGGAAGAATGAAATGCACAAAAATGGTCAGTCATCTAATTATTTCCTCATAACATTTTTGAACTTAAATCAAAACGAAAAACTTTTAGAGCTTAAATTTCTATACAGTTAGTGTTTCTGAACTTTGAGGTGTAATAACTTTTAAAAAATAGCAGCAATATTTTATGAGAATTCTCTTTTTTTTTCATTAAAGTAAGCTATTTTTGTGATAGTATTTTGCTCCCGTGATAGTACTTCGGAAAGTACTTTCGATTTCCGGTAAAGTTAGTCAATTACATAGGCCTTTTTCAGGAAGAACATATCTATATATACTTGTAATCATTTGCATTGCTTGCGGCCTTGTCAGCATGACAATATTTTCACTTCTATATTTTCATTTCATTTTACCATCACCATGAGAAATGCCATAAGTAAAGATAAGCTGATTACATCGAAAGTTACTAACACTTTGGTGGAAAACTCGAAACTTTTTGCATAGTTTGATGCTCACGAAAATGGTAATTTAGTCAGAAAGATTGCTCTTAATACTAGATTCCAGATATTTTTATCAGCTTACTTTTATGTTCCGGATATCACCTATGTACCAGAAATTGTTATATAAGACTAACTATCAAATGAATGAGATACATCGAAAGGAATATGTTATCTCAAGAAATGATGAAAATGAAAGATTATTATAGTATCTGCTAAGTTTTCTACATATATAATAACAGAATTGTTTGCAGCATTTGTTAAGATCTTTTTGTAGATCGAGAAGTTTTTGAAGTCTCGGGAATAAGTAAATATATTGTCGTCGCTGCTACTTGGAGAATTGCTTATCAGTTTGCAGATGTTTTATCATTATTTGAAACTAAAGATAATTTAGCGAATTTTATGTTTCACATTCAAATGCCAACATAATCAATGCATACGTAATAAACTTTAGATTCAATCAAATATTTTTGCTATACTAAAAATAATGTACAAGATTTCAAATAAAATTTGTTAGAAATATGCTAGGAATTCCACACATTGATTTCGATATTAGCAAAGAATTTTCTTAAGCCAACAATCAGTCCAACGCGTTTCACATGAATTGAACAGTAATACGTAACATTTGTTGCAAAACTGTTTTTCATCTCACTTTTATTCTTTGTTGTGAAAGGTTTTAAAGAAGTGAAATGTCAACTTTCGGAGGGAGTATAGTACAGAACATAGAAGCAAAATATCCTGTGATCTGCTTTTCGATATTAGCAAAGAATTTTGATTGAAAGGACCCACCGAAGACTGAGGTAAATGTATTATTGGATGGGAAAACCAATGCGAGATTGGTAAGTCCTATTGCAGAAGATGCTGGTAAGGTTAATGAGAGATTTTTGTTCATGAAACAAGCTTTATTCTCGAATACAGTAACAGCTGAAGATGGTACCTGGCCATGGGCACTGATAGTTTTCAAGACTAAGAAATTGTTTCAGGGAATCCCTTGCATTTCTTTTTGAATAGATCTATTGTGGCAGACAATAGCAAATTATACATAAAGCAAAGCTTTAGCAAAAACAATAATCTTTTATTCTGAAGAAGTAATTTATTCAGCGCAACTGCGCATTTTAATCTTCGCTTGTTCGTGGAGGGTATTGGTCAAATGCTTGGTGCAGTGAATATTTAGGATAGTGTGGATTTGTTTCGCCGGCATATGCCATTTTTTTGTTTGAATTTAAAACATTTTTGATAAATTCTTGGATTTTGAAGATTCGCTATTTTCTTTAATTGAAGAACATTAATTAGAACTACCAACAACAATACTGCAAATGAATGAATTTATGTAATTGATTACTAGGTCAAATGTGGTTTTTTTTATGCATTGATCATTTATCAGGTGAATAAAATGGTTTTTAATCGTAAGATGGATGCTTAAGTTTAGCTTAAGAATTCTTGTGATTGTAAGCAATTATGCCAATAAGTAATTTTGAATCAAATCATAGTTTTTTAAAATGTTATGTTGTGGTTTTAACAACTAAATCAATTTTGGTAAAGAAAAAAAAATTGTATCTAATACTTATATTTATTTAATAATCTTTGAGTAAAAAGCTGAGTAGAATGAGGGTTGCAGTGAAGTTCATAAATTCCTGAAAGTTCATCAATCTGTTTCACCTGGTTGCACAGATATTATAATACTCCATCAATGTTTTCTTTGAAACGTCAGTATCAACAGCATCTATTTGAGTTATTTGTCATCTTAAGTTAATTATAGCTAACAGGGATTGAATTTAATAATCAACATTGATTTAAAAAAAGAAAATAATGATAATTCATCTGGTATGCCCCAAGAAAAAGGAAGCCATATGGGTTGTAAAAAATATGTCGTTAAACTGATAACTTTCAAATTTTAGAGAAAATTAAAGCGGTTGCATAAAATAATAAGGTATGTTAGCACTTTTAATCCAGTAAAAATAGGCTTTACTTAAATAATCATTAAAATTACATCTATTATTTGAAATGAATTTTGGGGAAAAAGAATGAATTGAATCATAAAAAATAGAAATAAATAAAAACACATTCACTCCAACAGCTATGCAAATGTTATTGACAAATGATTGGATAATATAATGTTTACAACGTACCATTTAGGCATTTAGTTCGTCCATCGCCTTTTTCTTTATTAAAAAAACAAAAGTTTTACTTTTATAAGTGAGGATTGTATCGCTGGTTGAGTGTAGTAGGATTGAATTAGTTTTCGAACAAAAAATTATTAAATTATAGAAACAGAATTAAGTTTAACTCACCGTTTAATTGATTATAAAAAATTACGAATTCATTAAGGATTTGTTCAAATACTATTGTCATCAATTTACTCACGTCAGTGTGTTATTCTAACTGCTCTTTTTTATATTTTGCTAAATTTAAAATTTAATGATTTTATAGAAAGTTAAGATGACAATTTCATATAATATGGATGTTGCATCCGCATCATCGTTTAATTTTTTCCGTTTAATATTTCGGTGGAAGGGTAGCATCTGGAAGTTATGCCTCAAGGAACTTTGCATTTGGACATTGGTTTTTCTGATTGTAACATTCATTTATCGGTCATCTTTTTTTTTAACTTACAGCCAAAAAGTGTTCGTTAATTTCTTTGATGTTCAATTTTTCCCCTTTTTTGTTATTTATTATTTTCCAATAATTTGCTAAATATTTTTTTATGATGCATTTTTTAATTTGATAGAAAGTCTAACATTATTTAGTAAGTGAAAATCAGTTGACTAATCAATTGATTACTTAATTAATGCTAAAAATGAATAAGTATGCATTTTGAGAAGATGGTGAGATTGTTAAAAAATATTTAAACTGCAAAAAAAATCGTATTTATATTTAATAATTAATAATTTATACTTCATGAATATATTTTTATAGAAATGAATAAGAGAATAATCGATTAATGAATGAAATATTTAGAATATTTGAAAAGCTCGCAAATTATTTCGATACTCATCTTAATTATATCCCACTGACATTTATGCTTGGCTTCTTTGTTCAGACTGTCGTAAAACGTTGGTCGGTATTGTTCGAAAACATGGGCTATATCGAAAGGTCATTTTAAATTTAGTCAAATTTGTTTTCAATAACCGATTATATATATATATATATATATATATTTTTGTAAATAAATAATTATTTAGAAAGTAAACTAATACTTTATATAATTTTTTAAATAAACGGTGCATAAATTTGTGATGAACATATGTTTAAAAAATTGCTTATTCTTTTGATAATCTTACAAATTAAAAGTATAAAATAATTAGTAGAAAGTCAATTTCTTTCCTCGATTCAAAATTCACAGCTACAGAATTTTTTTATTTTAATTACTAGTAAGTATTCTAAACTTTCAGCACATCTATGTATATTGGCGGATATGTAAATGGTATAGATGATGAATCTCGGTTATTACGCCGAACCATGGCACGCTATCTGTGTTTAACACAATTACTTATCTATAGAGATATTAGCATACGTGTACGGAAACGTTTTCCAACTTATGATAGCATCATTAAAACAGGTTAACTAATTCTCGTCATCATTATTATTATTTTCTATATCAAACAATTAAGGGAAAAAGAATTATTTCTCTTTTATAGCGTTTTATTTGCATTTAAAGAATTTTTTTTAGGATTTATGTCAGAAAATGAATACGAAATATTGAAATCAACTCAACCGGATTTTGATAAATATTGGGTACCTATCAATTGGATTTATGCACTTATTTTTCGTGGACGTAAAAGTGGTAAAATTATAAGCGATGCAATCGCCTGTAAACTTTGTGATGTTTGTTTTCATTAATTGAAATTGCAGAGTTAAAATTAACATGCAGGGAACATTCGATAAATGCATAATGAATTATTGAAATTTATTTTGTTTCAGTTTATGAAAATATTTTGATTAATTAATTTAAAGGAAGTCAGAAGTTTTCGACACCATCTTCAGATATTATGCAATTATAACTGGGTCCCAATACCATTAGCATACCCACAGGTAAAAGTGTCGAATTTTTTATAGAATTTCATTTTCATTTTAATGGATATTGTACATGTTAGGATTCTTGGATTAATAACTTATTTCGAAATTTCATTCGACCTTACTAACTAATATCTCTTTTCAAGACAATATTAGCTAAACTTAACTTTTATCAACTTAAACCTAATTAAGTGAACTAACTGTTTGTTTATGAATTAATTTTTTAATGACAATTTGAACTTATGTTTCAGATTTTAATTTTAGAGAATTATATAATATATTACAGCTGGTATTTTTAGCTGTTTACGTTTATTTTGCAATATGTTTAATTTCACGACAGTTTATAATTACGGAGCGTGACGTACCAAATAAAAGCAACGTGTGTTTTAAATTGTATTTGCTTAGTATTACTTGCAATTACTTAGATAGGAAAATTTTTATTTTTAGAAGTAATTTTTAATCAGGCATATAAGTCTAGATCGATTTATTACTGCCATGTGTTACAATGATGGAATTTGTAATATTTGTCGGATGGATGAAAGTAGCCGAAGGCCTTTTAAATCCATTCGGTGAAGATGATGATGATTTCGAGAGCAATTTTCTAATTGATAAAAACTTGGCAGTTTGTTTTCAATTTTTTTCTCTTCCATCTTTCTTACAAAAAATGTAACAATTTTTGTTTTAGTTCTTTTTTCGCTCGAAAAATTTCAAATTGTCCCTTTAAATATTTCATTTTTCTATATTTTTTACTTTTTACTTCTTTACTTTTTTAGGTATCATTATGTATTGTCGATGATGCATCCAATGATGCGCCAGAAATGGAAAAAGATCGATTCTGGTCAAATAGCAAAATAAACGAAATTTATTCTAAAAAATCTCGGATAGTATGACCAGATCATTTATTTATTTATTGTGCTACATTATCATTGTAAAAAATGCTGTCATATCGAATTTAATTCGGAGGGTCTCCGGAGTTTTCATTTAACTTAAATCTACATTTATTTAGGAAAAGAAAATAATTTCTTCATTTCGTTTGATGTAAAAGTGCTTTATTTTTTATGCTATATATGCACTGCAATTGATTAAATGATTTGTTATGAATATTTTGCATGCAAAGTTCTGTCGTTTATACGAAAAGTGGGGCCAAAGCTTTATATTAAAGTCTTCCAAGTTATCATCCATTAATCATTATCAATACGTAAATTGTCTCATTGATAATTATTAAAAAAAAAAAAAAAAAAAACCAAACAAATCAAATCAATGCAACACACCTTTGAATTCTGCAACAGGTTGATTGTTGCTGAATATTTTGAATTTGGTTTTGAATCATTGGAAAAATAATTTTTTGGTTATCTCATGAACTAACAAACAGTGAGTTTGTAATTGAAGATAAATGCCCATTCAATTGCATTTAT